TAACAAATTACAAGATGCAAGTAAGTACTAAAAAATTTTGCAATAATAATAATAAAACATAAAGCGAATTTAAAATTAACTTATTTTTATTTACTTTCTTTCAAAAAATTTAGCAATTTCATATTTTAATTCTCAAAATATCAATTCAGTAATTTCACATCAATTATCAACTTTCTTAAATTCAACTTCTGCATTCAATGTAATCAACTATGAAGAACGTTATACTCCTTTAGGCAAATGGGGTGGTAGATTAGGTAGCTTTTCATTGGTATATTTCTATCTTGCCTATCAAAATATGAAAAAGGTTTTACCACAACATATGAAAATATCAGATATTGAATATGATCATTTAGTTGAAGGGTTCCATAGTGAATGCGAACAAAACAAAATTCATATTAAAACCTTTAGATATTGGGGGCAAAAAAAATAGAATAAATATTTATTACTATTATTATTATTATAAAATAGATAGACTTTTAATATTAATATTATTTATATTAGGTGTATATATAATTAATAATTTACATAAACAACATAATAAATAAATAAATTTTCCATTCTTTTCTTTCATCAATAAACATCTTTGAAATCACCCATTTTGAAATCCTTTTTCTTTCTTTCTGATTTAGGCCATCGAAACAAAGAAGAATTTTTTTTACAAGCTTCCCATGATTCTTTGAATTTACCATCAAATACTCTTTTATTATTTTCAAGCAGATTCTTCTTATCGTTTCTGATAGTTAAACTTTTTAAACCGTGATGATCTCTCTCTAGAATCTCGAAAAATTCTGGTCCAATCTCCCTACTATCATATATCAACAACTCCTTCCAACTACAAACTCCTGGTGGCCTAACAACCAAATTTATCCATCCTTGTTTGCTCACCTCGTTCAATCGATTCTCAATTGAAAATTTTTCTAGCTGACTCATTGACGCAATTAACAATAAACATTTGTCTGTTATTTTCGGCGTTTTGAATAATTTTAACTTTATCACTTTTTTTGATTTTACAATATTTTTCAAAACCAATTCATCCAACTCATCAAATGTTCCTATCTCCAAGGATTCTAAGTTTGGAAATAACTTCAAAAATTCAAAATTGCTCCGACTTTTGATACACTCAATCGATAAATCTTTCAAGCTTATCATTTCATTATCATTTTCTTCATCGTTCCTACTTAAGAAATCAAGATCTTCTCCTTTCAACTCGTACGATAAATGAACAGATGTTAAAGACTTAAATCGAGGTAAAATCAATATCGATCTACCATGTGCTGGTATATCAAGCGCATTCAATTTTGGACATCCCGTTGATAACGTATTAACTGCCGATTCATTAATCGGTAAGCGTTCCGTGGCAAAATCAAAATTTCTAAGATTTTTACAATACTTTCCAAAATATTCTACTATTATTGATGGATCTTTGATATTGGATTCTAATAACAATTGATCAGTGCTTATTATTCTGACCGAAAGTAATGATTCTTTGGAGTTATATGCAACTCTATTTGATAATTTTAAAAATTTTTTTTTGTTAAATTAATTTTAATTTGCTTTAATGTATCCAATCAAATATCAATCATCAAAATATCAATAACAATTTTAATATTAATTACCTTTTCCAAACATTTCGGGCCAATTTTGGATTATACAATCTAATACTATTGATTTTTCCACATTTCATTGCTCCACATAATCCATCATCATCATCTTGCATTTTGTCATCATCATCATCATCATCATCATCATCCCCTTCTTCTAGATCATCAGCATCTTTATCTTCCATATCAAGATGATCGTTCACATGCTTATAACAATTAAGGTTCAAACGAATCAATCTATCACCAAGTAAATGTAGTGGCAATTCATATTTTTTTCTTTGTTTATTAGACAATCCCAAAGAAACTTCTTTTAAATTTACACATTTTTCTGCTATAAATTCAATCAACCCTATATCAATGCATATTCTTGATTCAAACTCCAATTCTTCAATTACCAATTTATCTATAAAACTAGAATATGGAAATAATGACTTTTTATTACTACTTCCACCGTCACTACTATTATTATTATATGAAATATTTCCCTGTTGTTGTTGTTCTTGTGATTGATTTTGAAGTATACTAATAAATTTGGATAATGAATTTTTTTCTGTAAATTTACGTTCTTTCCACAATAATGGGACTGTTAATGATGCTAAATTATGGCATGTCATTAATAGATTCATAATATCAGATATATTCAATCCATATTTTGTAATAATTTCTATACAAATTTCTCGTGGAAGTTCAATGAGATTCATTTTTTTTTTAGTCAACTAAGAAAGTTTGAAATTTTATTTATATTTTAGTAACACACTTGAAGTCATTCCCAATTTTAAATATTGCCATTTTGGGTATTTGTTTTATATATTCTAGGCTTTTAGTTCCTGAACCTTTATTATTCATGAATTCCAGGAGTCTGATGATTCCTAGGTTGCCTCAGGTTATATTTGTTTCTACACACAACCACTCGAGGTATCAATTGCAAGCTTCAGATTATTCGTGGGATATTTATGAACTGTAAACATAACCTCTGTTATTTTATTTGTATATATATAATATTTATTAACTTATAAAGTACAAGTTTTACAAAAATTTTGTCACCGTGATACAAAAAATTTTAAACACTAATACTAATAAATAAATATGGACACAACGTTAACAATAGATCATTTTAATAATAATAAAAGACTATTAGAGGAGGAAGAGAATTACGATGTAAAGATTCAAATTGGCGCAGAACCAAATATTAAAGAAGTGCATGCGCATTTATCAATCTTATGTGCTCAATGTCAGTTTTATTTGTGAGTTTATCAGTAACTTAAAAAAGTCCGTTTTTATTTGTCGACTTTATCGGCTACTTAATAATATTCCAGAACTTGACTTATTCTCATATTCCATTTTTATCCCACATTTACAAATGTCCCTATATTAATATAAATGGCATCATAGAAAAAATCCAGGTTGCTTGCTTTCTATTATTATGAAATAAACTGACATTTACGGAGTGATAATTGATAAACATAATCACGGAGATATAATGGAAATATTCTGGGGTATCATTTTACAGGGCAAAAATATGATAATATCAACAAAGCTATTGTAGTTGGCAAAAGAGCAATAGTTATGGCTTGACTGGGATGGGAATGGATATAAAGATATGAATATAGTTTCATATTTAATAAATCAGCACTGCGCAGCTTAGTTATGCTAATAATTAAAATTTAATATGTTGTCATTCAGCTAACCTTCCTAGATTTACACCTGATATTTATTTTTATAATAGTAATATAGATTTGATGAATTAATAAAAATTTTATTCACATTAGTATTAATAGATTGAATTGATTAAAATTTATTTTTTATGGCAATTATGTAACATTGGACTTTTTTGTTTACAAGATTTTTTTTTTAAATTTTTAAATAATAATAAATGGATTTAACAATATTAGAAAAATATTTTAATGAAAATGAAAGATTTTTAAATACAAAAAAGAATAGTGATGTAAAAATTAAAGTTGGTGCAAAACCAAATGTTAAAGAAATTCATGCCCATTCATTCATTTTACAAGTTCATTGCCCATTTTTCAGAAATGCTTTAACCAATGCAACAAAAACAAATGGTCATTATATTATTGAAAAATCAAATATTAGTGAATTAATTTTTAAACCTATTCTAAAGTAAGTTTACTGAGTTATATTGCATTTATTTTTTAATTGAATACAATATATATATATATAACAATAATAATTAATTATTTTATCTTATTTTAAAAGATTTTTATATACTTGTAAAATTGAATTAGACAATTTTACTGGAGTTGATATTTTGAAAATATTAATTGCAGCTGATGAACTTGGTCTTGGATCACTTTATGAATATATAATGAAATATTTTATTGAAAAACATGAGGATTATATAAAAGAAAATCCAGTTAAAATCCTCAAGTTAATTTATTCTTATTCTAATGAAGAATTTAAGGAATTGAAAAGTATAGTGCAAGACACCTAGTCCCACAATTTTTTATTGTCCTTGTAGATCCTTCTCTAACTCCAAAAATGGAAATGTA